TAAAGTACCGCACTGCATATAATTATTAATTCTTTCTTTAACAATACTATGCCATCTACCCCCAACCAGCAGATGGACTCCACTCCCTCAGCCTGATTCTGTTGGCGTTTTCTTCCTGTTTTTCCTTTCCTCTGTTGTCAAGTGCTTGCTCATGGGTGGGTCATCTGATTGTTGGGGTTTTCTCTTTATCATTTTAGGGCTTTGCCTTACAGAATAAAGGACCCTGAGGTGACAGCTGTTCTGATTTGGCGCTCTGGAAATAAAATTGAATTGAACTGAATTCTGCTGAGTTTAGCTTGCCAGCTTTGTCAGGTCTCTACAATACTGGGTTGAAATAGTAGCAGATTTTAAGCAAATTAAGTTGAATATATTTTGTGCTGACTGACAAACACAACCATATCATGTCTTGAATACCCGAGTAATTAAATTCAGACCTATACTTCTAATTGAGTCTTTGCAGGTCATGTTTAAGTTACTTCTATGTATGTATAAAGCTCAGTGCTATTGCAGACAGACAACCTAAACGCTAACCTAAACACTGTGTAAATTTGCTTATTGCATAAATACTTAGAGTATAATTTGTTTTCAATATCTTCTAAAATATTTCTCATTGATTTCACTCTGGAATTAACAAAGCATTCTTATTCGGAATTAGCCCCGAGTAACCACTGATTACAATAAAAAGGAATCGTTGTTGTTTCCATTTAAGTCTTAGCTCATCGTTCTATTGTACCTACATTTGAGTACAATTACTCACTGATAAGTATTTTTGATCACTGAAAATCACATCCTAATCACCTCCGTGCACAGGTCAGTGTCGGGAAGTTTGCTGGCTGGAAATAGGAAGAGCTTTTTATAATTTCAGCATAACTTTGTAGACTCTCCACTAGTAATCATCTGTTACTCCACACACGCACAAACTACATTGTCCTGGTGATAAACTAAACGCTGGGAACGTCCCCTGTAACTACACAGGTCTTCTCCCGGAGGTGTCAAAACAAACCGAGCAGCCTCCCCACACACACACTCACCTCCACTGCATTTGGACATAGCCTATGCTCGCTAATTGCCTGCAGTAATTATGGTCACGCCTCCTCCCCGATCCACAATAGGAGACGGTGAGAAGACAGGAGCAGCGCTCCTTTCTCCTCAGTTTCGACTGTGTCTGCAAATTGATTCAGTTTGTATGAATAAACACCCACTCTGCAAGACGTCTTCTTCCATTTGCACATTCACATACTGACTGAGCAAAGGCCCGTTTGACTCCCCACTCGCCCGCCCCCTCTCTCCCCTTTTCCGCTACCGGCATCAGTACAGAATTAGCTTTACAGCCTCTTATTATTATCAGCAACAACATAACAGTGGCAGGGGCGAAAACATGGTGTGCGTCTTAATTTACCATATTCAGAGCACATTTTTAAAAACACGATAGATAGATAGATAGATAGATAGATAGATAGATAGATAGATAGATAGATAGATAGATGACGTTATTGATGACGTTATTGATGACGTTGATGGCGGTTTCCAGCACCTCGAAGTAAGCTACCTCTTTTTCAGATGTCTGCCCTTGATAGAAACCTAAAACGACGCTGGATTCCAAAAGGGAAACGCGCAATTACAACCGGGGCCGTGTATCTAAACATGAGTCAGAAATAATTGGGGTCTTGAGATGCATGGCGGCAAAAAAGGGAAGGTCACGCAGAGTGTACGACTCTAAACAGAATAATTCTGAAACCGACGCTTCTGAATGTGAGCGCGTGGAGGCACATCGAGTCTGGGAACAGGTGGTGACTGAAAGGGGGGTGCATGAGCGGAGCATCCAGGGCTGACTGATATCACACCTTCGCTCACTCCGAGCAGTAAACAGGATGCCCCCCCCC